TAAGTACATGGGGATCACTTCAAGCATATTGCCCTTGTAAGTGGTCCAGGGAAGTCCAGAAACAAGACTCTGTAGCTGTGATATCCTGCGCTATGGAGATGGGGTATGGCGCAGGATGGAGGAGGCAAGGGGGGACATTCTGACATCAGCACCCTCTTGTCCTTCCTAGCCCTCAGCCCACAGAAAGCAGGCGACTCGTAGGAGCAACTCCAAGGCACAGAGCAGGAGCAGCACAGCAGTGAGGGGGAAGGGCAGCTGAACCCAGCCTCATGTCTGCAAGGGAACATGGGGGAGATGATGGTGGGACTGCCAGCCCACCCTGGTTCCAAACATCTCCACTTGGGCACTCACTTACTGATCCATCCTTTCCCCTCCGCTCTCCTTTCAGAGATGATTTCTCATGTTACAGTGGGATTTCAAATGTAGCTTCTGTCATCTGGCTTTCTCCAAACCCTGAAAAGGTGGCAGAGTCTCTTGTTAGCAAACAAACATCCAGCAGCTCCACAGTCCCTGGGTTAAGAGCTGACTGGTTCTCCTCAGGGCCTGTTCTGTCAGTCTCTAGCCTGTGCCCGGTGTGGTGACATGCACGGGGGTCTGCATATGAAATATTCATCCCTTGAGCTCTCACTCTCTGGTATGTAACCCCAGCACCTGTTATTCAGGCATGATGAGGGTTTGCAGGAAGTGGATTTCAAAGTCAACTGGAGGAGTATTCATGGAAATGGAGCTCAGTTTCCCACATGCTAGTAATCTCTTGTTCTCTCCCTCAGGGATGTAATCGTTTAAACTGTAACCGTTTAAATGGTTAACCAATAAGCATGAGCTTATCAGATACGGAAACTGTTACATGCCCGCTCTGGTGGGGCTGCATCTGAGCCCACAGCAGGGGACGGCATTCGGCTCCCTGGGAGCGGGGCTGGGAGCCAGTGCGCACTAGGATCCAGCTGAAAACCTCGTTTCCAGCATGCACTGTTTCCCATAGACAGCAACGCAGGGCAGCAGCCAGCTCTTTGGGAGCAGGGTGGGAGGTGGGAGCCATCTACGGCCCTGCGCTGAAGGTTCTGCAGTATAAAGCTTATAGAATCTGCAACACAGCTGGCTCCCCAGGAGTGGGTCTGTCATTCAGGAGCAAACAAATTCCCACACACTCATAAGAAAAGCAAAACACCCCATTCTACATACCAGGGCATTAACTTTCACAGTATCTTCCATCGAGGGGCTTCAGATGTCTGATATACCGTGCTCCCAATGGCACCAAACTGAACTAAAAAGCAAAGAAATCAAATATTTTTCTTTATTGCATTTTGCTGTCCTGGAATGCACAGGCCACCAAATTATTTCTTCGTGCTCAGCCTCGTTCCACAGGTCAACATTTCTCCGTACTTGATATAACAAGGGCGTCACTCTGATATAACAAGACCTGAAATAACAAGGTTGTCGCTCCAGCAGCCTCGCTTGGAGTATTCCACTGGAAGCTCATTGGCGGTTCATTTCAGATGCTGATTTTCAATAAAGTCTTTTTCTTCAGGGGCACAGGAAGCACAACAAGGAGAAGCCCTGGTTTGTCAACTCCTGGTCGTTCAAAAGCGAAAAGGCTTTAGGTTGAGTTTGTTTAATGCTTGTAGAGTGACTGTGAAGAGCTAATACTGTAGAGAAGTACTAAATATTAAGACTTTGCAACCATCGAAAGATCTGGGTCATTTCCGGTTGCTGCTGACAGAAAGCTTAACACAAAGAAGTGCAAACTTTAGGGGGCTGGTACACACAAAACGTATGCTTCAAGAAACCTCATGTCAGAGCGGCTGATCACACATGCTAGAGGAGATACTACTTAGTCCCACTAGGAGTGCAGAGGTTCGCCCTGCATGATCTCTTGACCCCTATCGTTCTCCACTATTATCCTGATTGTGCATGAGCTGATGGACAAAAGAGTGGGGAATCGGTGGCAATTAAGGACACAAACTAGGGATCTTCCCTAAAATTATATTGGGGTTCAATGTGAAGGCAACAATTCACACTGGGAGACAGTTTGTAAAGTGAGGCAGCCTAAAATGCAACGCCACCCCTGAAAGTGGGAGGATCACGGGATTCCAGCCCATAACAGGGCAGGGTATGAGGCTTAGGATTTGCAATTCGGGATAGTGATGCCAGGAGCACTGTAACTCTTTGGAGAACCTATTGGGTAGAAGTGATGGAGCCCTCAGCTGTTCAGGTAACAGAAATATCAGATTTGTTGCCAGAGAGCAACGCAGCTCTGAATTCCTGCCTGCACCATCAAGCCGGAGAATAAAGTGTTTGGAAATGCATTTGCTGAATGCATTTCCATTCAGAAAAAACTATTTGGGAGCCATTCACTGCTACCCTGGGAGCTCCCCTTTCCCTCAGCCCCTGGCAGTACCTTGCTCGGAGCACATGGCACCTCTAGAAGCGGGATCCCAGAGCAACCCGGACTCCAGCTCATTTTGAATTTCTTCTGTAGCGTCAATAAAACACCATGGAGCTTGGGCAGTTGTAAGGGAGGGTTCCCCATCTACTTAGTGCTGCCTGCCTGTCACCCTATCTCTGAGTCACCCGGACAGCCCAGCTGCGTCCTCTGCTGCTGCACAGAACATCTGCCAATACAAACAGCCTGCAGCCTTCGCCCTGCACTTGGCATGTTACAGACAGTGAAACCTGCCAACGTACCCAGTTCCTGCTAGAAGGGAGTCGCTGGCATCAGAGGTCTTCACCCTAAAAAACAAGGAGTCACCAGAGAAGCTGCACAAGGAGCAGGCAGTGTGTGTTTAGAAAGGGAGACAACTGTCTTTATGAAGCATGCTTGCAAATTTCCTTGAGGGAGCTACTTGGCCATCAGGGAACCTCAGCTTTAACCCATGACAGCCAATAGCAAACGGCAGGAGGCCAGATCCCAGGGGATGGGGGCTGATGCTAAACAACTGGCCTGCAGCACTAGCCCTGCTGCTGGCTCCGTTGATGGAACCTGGACTTGCCATCACTGTTCTCAGGGTTTGATTCACCACATGGCTAAGGCAAGGGTGACCATATGGTAATGATGGTGCTGTCATGTGTTCTTACTGACATAACATAAAATATAGTAATAATGTGGGACCAGATTTCTCCCTGGCAGCCCCTTTCCTGTATTACAAAAATAATTATTAATTCTATCAGGCATGGTCTAGACAGTATTTGGTCCTGCCGTGAGGGCAGGGGACTGGATTTGATGACCTCTCGAGGTCCCTTCCAGTTAGTATTCTATGATTCTATGAGATAGTTTAAATGTCTCTTGTAGAAAATGTGTCTTGTCAGGTATTTATGGAAATGTTAAGATTGGCAGATTGTGATGGTGTCATGTGTTTGCATGGCTTATTATTGCAGCTGAAGTTATGAATATTGACTATCTCCATGTGTGGTGATACCTGGGTGGCACCCACAATGCAAAATACTTAGTTGCAGTCTAGACCAGTTGGTTACAAACTTGATTCTGGGGACCCCTTTGTAAGCCACTGATGGGCCATTGATGCTTTGGTTAGTCAAGTGTCTGTAGCAACGGAACCTCACAGCTCCCATTGTCTGTGGTCCAACATTTCCAGCCAAGAGGGGCTGTGGGAAGCACCAAGCCCCTGGCAGGTCCTCAAATGAAGTTTGAAAACTGCTATTCTAGACAGCAGGTTGGGAAGGGGAACTTAGCGGAAGCAATAGTCCCTAGGAGCGTTTTCCCAAGAAAGCTCCGGACAGCCTATGGGGAATGGCTGCTCTGATTCAGCAGGTCAGGCAAAGGCATGTGACCAGACCACATGACACGGAACTCCATTTCGGTACCCTGGGGAGCCAGGGTCTTGAGAGGGGGGCTACCCACAGACCCTGCTCCTGCTGCTCCTCTAGTCCCTGTGCGCTCCCCAGAGCAGGTAGAGGGTCTGTAGTTTCCCACAGTGGGCCGGGAACCCTGCGTGTCTCTTACCACAGCCCAGCCCTGGCTTTCAGAAAGGTCAGGAGACATAGGACCTCAAGGTGAAGAGGAACAGGGTGAAGATATGGGGGGAGGCGAAATGGGGCAGGGACCTCTGAGGAAAAGGAGGAGCAGAGCGTGGAGCCTCAGAGAAGAACTCCTTCCCATGTCCTGCTTTTGCCTGTTTGCAAAGGTCACCCTAAGGTGCAGGAACTAGGCTTGCTGTGCCTCTCGGCAAGGGGGAGGCTAACGGAGCCTGTTTCCACCACTTCCCAACGAGGTGGAGCAGCACAAACCCAGTGGATGCTGAAAAATTTCACCTGAATCTCTTGCCAGGACTCCTGTGGGTCAGACCCTCCCTCGCACACACAGCTCTGCCCTCCCTTGGCGGAAAGTGCGCTCAGAGTGTGTGTGTGTGTGGTGCAGAGCCATTAAAGGGGAGGGAGGAGTTGTCTGACTGGCTTCTCCCAGGTCTCCTGCAAGAATCACGTCTCTGACACGACTCAGTCACAAGCCCCCGGCTGTGGGCAAGGGGGAAGGGTGGGTGTCTGTGCACCTTGAACAGGCGCTGGCCATAGCTGGTGCAGGGCTCATGGGTCACACATCATCAGCGTGCTCAGGATGGGCCAGGACTGTGACTGCAGAACAGCTCTGTGGTTTATCTCAGGGCTCCTGGGTGTTTAAGCAGAGACAGGAAGGTGACAGGCCTGGCGTCATGGGAAACAACAGCCACCTCCCTTCTCTTTATGGTTTGTAGTAACAGGAATTCTGAGGCCGGAGCAGCCACCAAACAGCTCTTTATGGGCCAACATCCCACCAGTCCCCTGGCTCTTCCAAACACAGTCACTTTGTAAATGCTGCTTCCTACCTTGGTCTCCTTCCCCCATCGTTCCTCCCTCACCTGCCCTTCGCCCATTGCTCCAGGCCTTAGACCCCCAACCGACCCTCCCTCTACACAGCAGAGATCATTAATGCTCATGTCTCCTAGAGCATAACAGGTCCAGGATAGAATGGGGGTCTGTGCGGCCATTTATTTTTTAATTCATCTCCCATGTCACCAGCACTGGAGCTGGGTGATGAAATGACCCTTCACTTGATGAACACCCTGATGATCCTCGCACGAAGGTGTTTGTTTTTCACACTGTACACGATTGAAGTAGCCCAGGAGAAACTGAAGTAAGTGAGAAGAGCTGTTCCCAAATCTGTGGATCACAGCCAGGCCGATGACAGGTAAGAAGAAGAGCAGGACGGCACAGAGGTGGGAGACGCAGGTGTTCAGGGCCTTGAGGCTCTCCGTGCGGGACGCGATGCTCAGCACTGTTTTGAGGATCATCACATAGGAGAGGAAGATCAGAAGCGAATCGAAACCAATTGTTAAGAGTGCAGTAAACAGACCAAAGATATTGTTGACTGTGATGTCCGCACAAGCCAGCCTCATAACTTCCTGGTGCAGGCAGTAGGAATGGGAGAGGACATTGGAGCGACAATATTGGAACCGTCTCAGCAGAAAGGGCAGTGGATATACTACAGCCACCTCTCTTACCACAAACACCAGCCCCATCTTGGCTACTCTTGGCAGGGTTAAGATGGAAGCATATCTCAGCGGGTTACAGATGGCAACAAAGCGGTCAAAGGCCATCAACAGGAGCGTGGAGGATTCAATACCTTGAAGAAAGTGGATGAAGAACAGCTGAGCAAAACAGGCATCCAGGCTGATCTCCCTAAAGTTAAACAAGAATATGCCCAGTATCGTTGGCATGGTGGATATTGATAAACCAAGGTCTGTGAGGGCCAACATGGAAAGGAAAATGTACATGGGCTCATGGAGGCTTGGGTCTGTTTTTATAATGAACAGAAGGAAGGAATTGCCTACCAGCGAAATGACATACATGATGCAGAAGGGGATAGCGATCCAGAGATGGACATCTTCGTGCCCAGGTATCCCAGTGAGAAGGAACACTGCAAATTGGAAGTTGGTATCATTGACAGCTGACATATTGTACTGGAAAGCTCCAAGGCATTTTCTACTTTGCTTCCTGAAAGGAACAACAACAGGAGACTGTATGACATTTAACTAACCATCATTCTGCTCTCAGATCAAGACTAGAGACTTCCTGGTGTTTGAGGAAGATCCGCTAAATTATAGTCTTGGACTTATACCACAAATAGCAAGATAGGCACTGTCCGCTTGGATCAGACCTACATTGCTTCTAACCAGTGGCCAGTGGCCAGGTCTAAATGATTCAGAGGAAGGTGGAAGAAACCCTGCAATACACAGCTGCACTAATACTATTATCAAGGAAAGTTTCCCACTGACAGCCGGTAGTTAGATGTAATTTGTCAGGAAAATCAAGCCCTCCGAGATAAACACTCATGACTCTAATTGGATTTGCTGGTTACCCATATAAACATGAAGCCCCTCTTTGGATCTGCCTGTACTCTTGGCCCCAATGATACCTTGTGGCAGAGAGATTTACAGTCATGAACTTCACACACAGAAACTCTTTCTGGACCTCCACTTTGGTACCATTGTACTATGGTACATGCATAAACACATGGCTAGTGCTTTGTGAAAAGGGGGATTGTACGTCTCACCTTTATATTGAAACTTTTTATAAATGTGTTTCATTGCCTCACTCTCATAAGATATAATAAAAATAATACATTATTATTAATTGTCGTATTAGTATTATCTCCGCTCCAAACTATGTCACTGCCTCTTTGCAGTGCACGGGACAAATTCTTAGGGACAGATTCTGAATTCAGCAACATTGACTTCAACTGTGTCACTGAAGATTTATATCTTTAAATTCCGTCAAAGCTGGTCTCTATAATTTTTCCCTTACTCGAAGCTTCTGGCGATACACTCTGGCCCAAAAGAATCCCCCCAGGAGAACCTGAAGTATTTTGACTGGTTAGCATTGATTGATTCAGGAGAATTCAGTCATCGTACAGGCTTCTCTTCATCCTCACAAGACCTGCATCCTCGGTCTGTAGACACCAGGCAAGTTACAATCTACACAGACAGTCACTTCATCTGGTTGGGGAAGGGTTGACTTCACAAATGGTGAATAGTGCAAACACTAGTTTTTCACTAATATTCAGCTGACTGTGCAAGTTACCTCAGTTGGGTATCTATTACATATAACCATATTTACACTCCCCTTTGCTCTACCTTTCACTGAAACAGACCAGGGGTTCTGTTCTCTCAGGAGTTTTTGAAAGTCTTGCGCAGGTATTGCCAATGGGTTGTTTTCATGCCCCAGAATGTAAGTGTTAGAAAGAGCTTCTGGTCAGGTAGCAGGAGACAGGCTCATGCACCTGTTCACTGATCAGAGAACTTTTTTCAGCAGACAAAAGTGCTGCACACAGCCATGATGATTGTGAAGCTGGGTGGATGTGGTGGAGCCAGGGGGTAGACTCATTCCCTGGGAATGCCTTGCTACTCAGTGAAGAATAGAGACATGCATTGCCCCTTTAACTACACTGGGCTTATTTCAAGCATATTTCCCTTTGAAGTGGTCCAGGAAATCCAGAAACAAGACTCTGTAGCTGTGATATCCTGCCTCATGGAGATGGGGTATGGAGCTGGATGGAGGAGGCAAGGGGAGACAGTCTGACATCAGCACCTTCTCTCCTTCCTAGCCCCCACCCCCGCAGAAAGCAGGATGCTCATGGGAGCAGCTCCAAGGCACAGAGGTGGGGGAAAGGCAGCTGAACCCAGCCTCATAAATCACAGGGAACTTGGGGGAGCTGATGCGGGGCTGCCAGTCCACCCTGGTTCCAAATCCCCTTAAGGACAGGCTGCTTTTCCCAAAAATCCGGCAAGTCGTGGATGAAACAGGCAGGTGAACAACATTATAAGACAGCGCTACACAACTTTCCGTGAGCTCGTGCTCTGATAGAATAAGCACCGTAACAACTAAACAGCGTTAACTGGGATGACATTACATTGACTGTCCCTGTACATGCATGCCATGAAATCCTGTTTTGTACTCTTTGTATTGCAATGAAAAGTTTTGGAATAACATTTATACATTTCTGCTTTGGCACTCACTTACCCACCCTTCCTTTCCCCTCCGAACTCCTTTCAGAGATGATTTCTCAGGTTACAGTGGGACTTCAAATGTGGCTTTTGTCACCTGGCTTTCTTCAAAACCTGAAAAGGTGTCAGTGCCTCTTGTCAACAAACAAAGGTCTACTAGCATCTCTATCCCTGGGTTAAGAGCTGACTGGTTCTCCTCAGGGTCTGTTCTGTCAGTCACTAGCCTGTACCCAGAGAGGAAACAGGCACGGGGGTCTGCATATGAAATATTCATCCCCTGAGCTCTCACTCTCTGGTACATAACCCCAGCACTTTTTATTCCGGCATGATGAGGGTTTGCAGGAAGTGGATTTCAAAGTCAAATGGAAGAGTATTCATGGAAATGGAGCTTAGTTTCCCACATAACAGTAATCTCTTGCTCTCGCTGGCTAGGTCTAGACTGCGACATTTTTGGGGAAAAAGCTATGCAAAATGCGCTCCTCATTTTGCATAGCTTTTTCCGCTTTTTTTCTTTTTTTCAGAAAAACCTCCTCTTTCAGCGGAGCCCTTATGCCTTGTGAAACGAAGTATACAGGGCTTCCCGGAAGAGTGTGTTTGCTCTTCCGCGAAAAAAAGTGGAAGGGCAAACGTGTTCCTTGGACACAGAGATATCCTTCTAATACCCCGTAGTCTAGACGTAACCTCTCTCTCAGGGAGGTAGTAGACGTTTAAATGGTTAAATGGTTAACCAATAAGCATGATCTTATCGGAGACTGAAATGATTATATGCCAGCTCCCACAGGGCTGTATCTGAGCCCACCAGCATGCGGCGGCAACTGGCTCCCTGGGAGTGGGGCTGGAAGCCGGTATGTATCTGGAGCTGGCTTAAAAGCAAGTTTTCGGTGCACACTGTCTTCCGAGGAGCAGCTGCCATCCTGTGCTTCTGCCTCTATATCATTCTTGGTACTTTTAAGGGGTTGCAAGGGCAGCGGAGGAAGCCCAAACACAATGTGGTAGGTTTCTCCTTCATCCCTCCTTCAAGGATTTTAAATCCACTTCTTAGCAGACTATGATAGAAAGACTGTCCCAATAAGCTAAAGGCAGGTTTTTCTCTCCATTTGCTGGGTCTCTAACAGTTCAATCCATTTTTAAAGTACCTCACATTTGATTTCTTTTGAGTGTCATTCCAAAACCTTACAACTTAAAATAAACCTGAAGTTAGTCCACATTTTTAATGCCCCAAATCAAACCGACTTCTTTCCCAGGTGGCAAATGTTGGGTACACATGGAATGTGTATGATTCGAGAAGAGAAGGAGAACACAGACCAGTTACTGCTGACACTTGTCTAGCATTATTACCTCCAGGGAAAACAGATTTTTACAGAATAGATTTTGGTCCCTTCTGCTTTTTCACATCTGATATAGTAGAATTGCTTTCCTCTCCTTAATGGATCTTTTAAGATGCTGATTTTCAGTAAAATGTTTGAAAATGAATTTGCTGCTGCATTTCCAGGAGGAAATAAACCTAATGCTTTTTGGGAGCCATTCACTGAGACTTTGGGAGATCTCCTTTCCCTCAGACCCTGGCAGGACCTCGCTCAGAGCACACAGCACCTCTAGAAATGGGACCCCCTGAGAAACCCTGACTTGGGGCATTGGGGGGTTTAACATTTGAAGCTTGTTTTGAATCTTTGTGCAGTTTAAATGACCCACGGTGGAGCATGGTCTATTGTAGGGGAGGGGTTCACAAGCTAACGAGCGCTGCCTGTTCTCCAGCCCCATCACTGAGTCACCTCAACAGCCCCGCTGAGTCCTCTGCCGCTGCACAGAACAGCTGCCAATGCAAACAGCCTGCAGCCTTCGCCCTGCACTTGGCATGTTACAGATAGTGAAACCTTCCAACGTACCCAGTTCCTGCTAGAAGGGAGCTGCTGACACCAGAGGTCTTCACCCTAAAGCACAAGGAGTCATCAGAGGGGCTGCAGGGCAGCAGGCAGCGTGTGTTCAGATGGGGTGACAACTGCCTTTATGCAGCATGTTTGTACCTTCCCTTGGGGTCACTTGGCCATCGGGAACTCAGCTGTTTGGCTTCCTGTGAACCAGCTTTAACCCTGTCACTGCCAATGGCAAATGGTAGGAGGCCAAATCCCAAGGGATGGGTGCTGATGCTAAACAACTAGCTTGCAGCACCAGCCCTGCTGCAGGCTCTACTCCTAGTACCTGGGCTTGTCGGCTTTGTTCATATGGTTCCAGTTAGTCACATGGCTAAGGCAAGGGTGGCCGTATGGTAATGATGATGCTGTCATGTGATCTTGCTGAAATAAAATAGATTAATGATAGCGTGGAACCAGAGAACATGACCCATGAAGGAAGGCTGAAAGAATTGAGTTTGTTTAGTTTAGAAAAGAGAAGATTGAGGGGGGACATGACAGCCGTTTTCAGGTATCTAAAAGGGTGTCATAAGGAGGAGGGAGAAAACTTGCTCTCCTTAGCCTCTGAGGATAGGACAAGAAGCAATGGGCTTAAACTGCAGCAAGGGAGGTTTAGGTTGGACATTAGGAAAAAGTTCCTACCTGTCAGGGTAGTCAAACACTGGAATAAATTGCCCAGGGAGGTTGTGGAATCTCCATCACTGGAGATATTTAAGAGTAGGTTGGATAAATGTCTATCAGGGATGATCTAGACAGTGCTGGGTCCTGCCTTGAGGGCGGGGGGCTGGACTCGATGACCTCTCGAGGTCCCTTCCAGCTCTAGTATTCTATGATTCTATGATTAAGAGATGATAGTTTGTTTTCAAGCTCTCTCCTAAGGGAGGATTAAAGAGCTTGGGGTTACCCAGAGGGAGAAATTCCCAAGGGCCCCCATCTTTGCACGTGAACTGCCAGAGGGGGGAACAGCCTTGACCGGAAGGATACAATTATTTTAGTTTTCCAGCCCAGCTCTTGCTCAACCCATGTGACAGGATCACACCT